CCAGCACAAGGTGCACCTGTGTAATGATAATGCTGTTTAATCAGCTTCTTGATATGCCACACTTGTCAGGTGGATGGATTATCTTGGCAAAGGAGAAATGCTCACTAACATGGATGTAAACAAATTTGTGCACACAATTTGAGATAAATAAACTTGGAAAATTGGAAAATTTCTGGGATCTTTTATCTCAGCTGATGAAACATGGGACCAACGCTTTCGAAGAGGCCAAGTCAAGTTTAAGAAGGCATAATCCTTTTGGAGGTGCAGTAATGAGGCAGTGTGATGATGCTGCAGAACGTTGTTCTTCCCCATCTAGCCTTTTCAAGGAAGCGCTGTCTTTGAACTCACTACTTGAGTAATGCAGTTTTGTACCTACTAGGAAATAACCCTTAAACTATGTATAAGGGCTTGTTTCCCCCCTAACCCATATAAAGGCTTCAATGTTTACTACTTTGCTTGCTTTGTTTCTAATTATGTTCAGGTCCATTTGTAAAAATCTCCCATGACTGTGCACGAAACGTTTTTTCTTGCACAAAACGTTTTTTCTTTCTCACACAGAACGGCAAGCTGACAAATAGAATAGGTAAACTTTTCTACTATGGTTAGTAATGGATAGTTATTCTAACATAGGTGGCGTGTGGGTTTCAAGTTTGGGGAAGCTAATTTTCACCATAACAATGCACCTTTATAATAAAGCATTCCATGCATCCTCGCATTTGCAGACTTATGTAAGATAGCCAACTATTCCTAATGTGATGATTAGATTGGATAGTCATAATTTAGGCTAATAATATAACTCAATCACTGTTCGCAAAAAAGACTGTTCAATGCAGCGTGTAGTTGCTTAGAGTAGGCCTAGACTATCAGATAGGCCTACTCTAAGGAAAATGATGGCCTTTTATAAACACATTTCATGCAATTCTACTACACTTTATATGACTGGAGACATTAGCAGAATATTTTTTAATAAGACAAAAATTACAGAGTAGGCTACTCTGCTGACACTGACAAACAGATCAATAAAAACGACTTTGTCTGATCCATATAATCGGCCTACGAAAAGGGGAGACACAAATACAATATGACGTCCATCTAACCTGGAGGAGGAAATTATTGTCCAAAAACAAACAAAAGTGGCACTGACCCAATGATAAAGAGAGTGAATATGCACACTCACTGGGGATATGACCAATGTTCTCCGCTGTTGAGCATTTTGATGACTAAAAGACAGATTGGAGTCTTTACAGCAATAGCCATTTGTTTTCAAAACTGTTTTTCCGCAATTGTATTTTTTTATATTGCGATATGCCTGACTGGGTCGCTCTGCCTTTCACTGACAGTCGCAACTCAACAATCATCTATTTGGTATTTGCGGCGCGCTCTGCCCAACCTGCAGGCCCTTCCGACTGTAGGTTATGCAATTTAAAACAATCCACAGCTTTTTTTAAAAGAAGCTAATGATCGATCCTCTGTGGCCAAATCATGCTTTCTGGTGTAGTAGCCTATTTTGAATTATTTCTTTCTTTCTGTATAGACAGGAGTAAGCTAATTAGTCTATATCATTTTGGAAATGTAATAAAATGTACTTTCGGGAAAGCTTCCCCTAGCCTTATGGACGCGCTGCCTATATATTCTAACATCTTCAAATTGCTCATCGGAATTCGGTAAGAATGATGCACACCGTTGAGTCCGAGTTGCATGTTCTCTTAAGATTAATTACCATAAACTAAATGTGATTTCTGTCATTCTGAGAACCGTGGGTGGATGCCCTAATCAGGTTACGTCATTTATTGTTTTGTTGCCATACTCTATTGCTAGCAGTGCACTTATTCAAGCCACAATGATTATGACTGAACACACAAAACATATCAGGGAGCATAAAGAGCCATCCGGAAGATGTCATAGATGTGAATCAGAAAATATGGTACCCTTTTTGTTTACTTCCTTATGGCTAGTTGCAGCATTTCATTTCAAAGTGTTTGCCAGGGGTGACCTTTGGCTGGGCCTGCTTTGCCTCTGACAGCACTGACATTCAGCCAACACTTAACCAGCCAGCCAGCCAGCCCCTAGCCTAGTCCCCTCCCCTCTCCTCTCCTCCACACTCTCAAGCCTCACAATAAGGAAACAACAGACCATTCTCTAGCCTGTCTCCACAGTGGCAATTTTCCTGAAATCATCACACGTTACTCGTTAATCCAAAAGGCCAATTCAAGAGAATATAGTAGCCTCTCTTCAATTTGCACTAGACTCCACTGCACTTAATGCTTGATCAGTTACTTCTTTGTATTTCAATTTGCTAACACTGGAACAAGCATATCAGTTTTGCACGCTATAAGAATACTTTTCAAAGTCACTCACACCATCACAGCATTTATTTTAATGTCATGGTTAGGTTGAATGAAGTGGAGTAATAACATGCCAAGTCCTCATAGCCTTTATTTTCGGTGACCCTCTCTCTCATCGGAGTGCGAGACAGTAAATGGCAAACATTAGAACATCAGCGACCTTGTGACACCAGTCTTTCCTCAGCCCATACGGTTGTTGTCCTGCCCCTCCATATTGACCGTATCATAGCCACTCAATTCCAGGGAGGGAAAGCCATATCAGAGTCATCCTGACCCTACAGCAATCCCCAGGGTTCAGGACGGATGAAAGAAATGAATGTCAGGGTTGTTCATCTCAGAATTGTGGGAATGTTTGCAAGAAAGAGGGAGGAAAGAGAGAGGGAGAGAGTACAGACAGCACTGCACCAATTGCACACACTTCGTCCATTGCATGAGAGAGAGACATAGAGACAGAGAGAAAAAGTGAGAGAAAGAAGGAAAAGTAGACTACAATATATTTCATGGTGGGATTAGGCAGGAAGGCTGTTCTCTTCAGATACCATTTGTCTGGGTTGTAAAAGAATTTATCCCGACACATGAAGTAAGAGAGTTTCACGTCGATTTCAATGGGCAGGAGAACAATTCTAATTTGCTGATCACCTTGCCTCATTGGAAAAAGCATGCTGCTTCTAACAACCCTCGCTCTTTATCGTTCTCAATTATCCTTCCCATAATTCTTCGCTGTGTCTGCAGAAACCATCAGGCATATAGAAAGCCGCCCCTTGCAGGGCTGCTGGCTGGGTGAGGGTCACACTTCCGAGTGCTGTAAAGTGTCTCACACAATCGATCTCTTCTCCCCGTTGGAAGATTACAGTAGGAGCACAGGAAGATAATGCTGGATAATGCTGACGGTGGTCAATCCAAATGTGCTATTACATTGTCTCATTGCATATTTCATACCTCTGCCTTGTGCCTCTGTCTCCTACGTGAATTAATCAATATGAAAGGGAAGCAGTTTTGGGTGCTTTAGGTTCATTCTCAGCCTTTTCTTTCAGAGATTCTAAGAATAAGTACAATGTATTCTTTCCTCGAATTGACCTCTATTCCAAGCAACCCAGCCTCTGCAGTTAGATATCAAAGAAAGAACACTCTCTGTGAACCTGTGTGTTGAGTGACTTCAGAGTGACTGAGAGTAGAAAGCTTATCTGAAATCACTTCAATTTTTATGATTCATGTTTGCTTAGATATGTTACTTTAATGGATCTGAGTTTTACCTTGGCAGCATCCGATAGAACTATAAAAAAGAGAACCGTAACAGACAGGCTTTTATTTAATCTCTCTCTCTCTCTCTCTCTCTCTCTCTCTCTCTCTCTCTCTCTCTCTCTCTCTCTCTCTCTCTCTCTCTCTCTCTCTCTCTCTCTCTCTCTCTCTCTCTCTCTCTCGCTACAATTTTCTCTCTCTTTTTGGCTGTTATTGCCACTTGGGGAATGAAAATGTTCATGTTATTGTCTTGTATGTGCATTAGTAGAATATATTTTTTCCTGATGTGTTTGTTAATGGCGTGGCCTGCCAGACCAGCTCTGCTCTCATTTAAATGATGCTCCTGCAGGAGTCTCTTTCTCTAACGGAGGGAGAGATTGTGCAGAGAAAGGTAAACGCTTTGCCTCGCCTGCGCTACACAACACAGGCTCTCTCCTCAAATGAAAAACGTATCTCAGAGAGAGCACCGTTTCCTCTCCTTATTTCAGATGTCTCTGATTGACTTTCCAGTCAGTTCACAGGGTTCTTATGAACAGATTGCCCTCACTTGGCTGCTCTCTCTCTCGCTCTCTCTGGTTTCCTCCATCCAAGTTATTCTCACAGACAATAATTGTGTGCATAGAGACATTCACTCCTGGTGTGCCACATAACCATGTCAGACAGATCAGGGAAATATTGGGATAGATGAGCCAAGGTAATTGTATTCAAATTGTCCCTATTCAAAGGTATACAGTAGATAAGATGATATATATTGGGCTTTCTAACATCGAACACAATGTAATGTATTTCAGACAATGGGAAATACTATAACTAGAGCTATTAAGTCATTCACTTATCCAGATTCTCTCCAAACTGACCACTTCACAGCTGCATACTGCAGAGGCTGCAGTGAAGAGTCACAGTATGTCGAAATGTTGCTGCATTGAAACTCTGGCTAAATGTGTCCATACACTCCTTTCTTATCATGACTGCATACTGTAGCATCACTATTCGAGGAAATAATGAACGTCCCATCATTGCAGACTATTAAAACAACTATGTTACCATCTGGTCTTTAGACTCTATGATCCTGTCTTTAAGAGGGGATACAAACTACCCAACAAACATAACAACAACATGCCAATTAAGCTGACCATAAAATCCTGTTCCTCAGCAGTAAACTTAGATAGGTTGTTCTTCAGTTTCACTCAGAGCTCTTAGAGAGAGTGAAGCAGCACTGCAATTAGGTCCATAAGTGTGATGCGGAGCTCATAAAGTGCTTTAATTTGTCTCTGTGTTTTCGGGTGCTCTGCCCATAAACGCGCGCTCCTCTTCCCTAATTGGAAATGCTTCACTTGTTGATGTGGCAGGCTAGCAGCCTCGCTGAGGGAGCACAACTGCATTAGTGTTTATCTTCTCCTGCTCTGCCTTCATTAGCACCCGGCTCCCCAGTTCAGACTCCTCAAAGGAACCCTGGTGCTGACCGACACCCCTCCCCCTGTCAGTCAGTTGCCTGCTGTAAATTAGATCTGCTTTTAAAGTTAAGTCCCCTAGCAGCTCCTCACATCACGCTCTGCAGCTCATCAAGGTGGTGTTTGTTAACACAGGATTATCAAAGGCTTGTTACAGTATTCAAGTGAAACAATCGGCTCAACAGTGATAGCATCAGCTGGCGTTGGCTGATTATCAGTTCCTCTACTCTGGAAAGACTTTCTCGTCACCGGCGCGGTGCAATGTTTCATGATTGAGGGATTCTGTTTGATGTGGTGTGTAATAATGTACTGTCATGGCTAATAGTGTGTGACATTACATGATGCCAGGTCTTTCTCTCACTCTCCCTCAGGGCAGGAGTTGCCATGCCATTTGGCTGTTTGACGCTCGGGGAAAAGAAGGATTACAACAATCCCTCAGAGGTGACCGATAAATATGACCTGGGACAGATTGTTAAATCGTAAGTATTCTGTTAGTAGTCCACCTGACTGAACAACAGGAAATACAGGAAACCCAATATCAGCCCTCTAGTCTTAGTTTTGTCTTTGTCCGATATGGTACCAGATAATTAGAAAATGAATTAACTTTAAAGAAAATACTTAAATAAGGACAAATGCTTTATTCAAGTCCACCTAGGGATGCTCTTACCATGGCCATCATTATGAAATTGTAATCAAGGGCTTTACTAAATTAATTTAGAAATCCATTTAAGTTGACCTTTGATCTTTATAAATGTTTGGTTTTGTGCATTTCCTTTTCAGAGTGGAGTTCTGTGAGATATTCAGGGCCAAGGACAAAAATACACTGAAAATGTTTACTTGTAAAAAGTTCCTGAAAAAGGATGGAAAGAAAGTTCAGAAGGCTGCAAAAAACGAGATCCTCATTTTAAAGATGTGAGTTTTTGTTATCAACTTTAAACTCAGCTTTCTGTCATTTTACATCTGCGTTCACAAAACTATTCTCTGTAAATACTTTTTGTTTTATAAGAGATGGTGTATTGTTCTAGTAGGCTATGTGAATCTGTGGACATCCATTAGAGCTAGCATCATTTACTCCAACTTTGTTTATCTCCAAATATTTTTCTCACATTAGGCTTCTTATTCATCATCAGTGTGTGGCAGGCTCCCTTTCATTACCTCCCTCTCCAGTAAACATTAGCATAACCTGAGCATTATCAAACAATTTGTTACAGGCAGAAGGGAACTCAAAGAATACAGATGAAAAAGCCAATGCACGAAATGGAAGATGAAAGTGTCATTTCTTGAAGGGTTATCTAATACGTGGAGTCTTTTCTCCCGATACACAAAAGCATGACCTTCATAGGGCTTGCTATTTCAATTGGTTTCTTTGAGCTCTGGAACTGGAGGATTTGATAAATATTCAGTGAATGGAAAAGATACCATTCCATCAGTCCAATCCCCTGAAGTACCATTGAAAGCCAGCAGCACACATACCACATACGGCCAATGGTTTCCATGTTGTCTAACACCTTATGTGTAGCGTTAAAGTCTTCATTACTCATTGCCTCGCTGACAAAAAAACTCACCATGAAGTTTCTTAGCTGGTGTGAACGTTACCATGGTCACGATCAAACACACCATACTGTTCTGCCGCGTGGTCGTCCTTGCACATAAATGCCCTCATCAATTCAACTCATGCATAAAGTACAGTACATTATTTATGGATAGACATTTTTCCTTTATTAACCCAGGCTGTCGCAACATATGTTTAAGCATGCAGATCTCACAGTTCTTTTTGAATTAAATTGATTATATTTATTGCTGCATTTGTTCCTGCACATGGTTGCTGTTCCTCTCGGCATGGCTGACTGTTGTTGTGTTTTATTCATGAGCATTAATGTACCGTTATACCGTACTGTGTGTCTCAATGAAGGCATTCCCATCTCTCTCCACCTCTACACTCCTTCTAACTCTCCTCTCTCCCCCTGTGGCCTGCTCTCTCCAGGGTGAAGCACCCCAATATTCTTCAGCTGGTGGATTTCTATGAGACCAGAAAAGAGTACTTCCTCTTCCTTGAACTGTGAGTTGAGTCATCTGATTGGTTGAGATTGCGTTCCTGTCATTGTGGCAGCAGGGGTCTATGTGTTGATTATGCACTCATAGGGAATGAGCTGTAGTAGCCTAAGGCCCTGTAAATATGAGCACTGCTCTGAACTACCCTTCTGCAGCCTTCATTTGGTATTCAGATATGATTCATTTCTGCGTGCTCCAGTTTTTCATCAGTCTGTGTTCTTGGGGATTTGATGCATTACCATAGATACATTAAATGTGACGTGCTCTATCATAATCAGTTGTAAGTCGTGCTAGCTCATTAGCATAAAACATGCATATTTCGTAAAAAATATTGGCATGGCCTGTTGTTGGATTAAAACAGAATTCACTAGAACAACATGTTTTCTAGCCAACTCAATTCATTTGAATGTCGAAATCATAGTTTCAGTACACTTTTAAAGCCTCAGATGATAAGAAGATCCACCTTTCAAAACGAGTCATTGGCTAGCTAACAGTCAACTGACAAGCTATCTATCTAGCTGTTTAGCTGGCTAATACAACCACAAACTAATTTTTTAACATATTAACTAGCTAGTAGCACATTATCTTGTCAAACTGTTAAATGAGTAGCAAGCCAGCTACAATGGATGCCAAATAATATGTTTTGTACAGTGGGACTTGCGTTGCAAAGTGCAGATTGCAATCGGCACTGTGATGAAAACCAACAACAAACTTTGGGGGTGATTTTCTCTAAACAGCTGATCAGGGAGACCTCTGTTGTAACTAGCTATGCTGCGCTCAATTTGAACAGTTAATAGACAAATTCTAAATCGTTTTGAAGCTAAGAATCTCCTCTTTCCAGCAGTGTATAAAACTCTAAATGTGTTTTGGGGTCAATATGACTGATTCACAAATTCACCAAATATATAATACTCATCTCCTCCAGGATTGCATTGATTTGTGGGTCTTTTATTCTGATCATGAGGTAAACCATCAGAGATCAGAGGAGAAACCAATGTTGAAATTATTGAAATCATCACATTAAGCAGGTTTGGTGGATTCTGTGATTTTGTCACGTTTTAATGTCTTCGCTCTTGGCAAGGGTGTCATTTTATGGTAATTGCATAGTAATCCAAACAGTTTTTTTTTCAAACATTCAAAGTGTCTCTGTGTCAGAGACTTCAAATAAAGTTGTATTATTGAAAAGGATCTGTGGATTCTTTGAACCAGAGACATTGTCAGGCTCAAAGCACCTACTGTACGTCAGCACCATGCTTCATGCCACTCACGTTCTCCCCACAGTGCTACAGGCAGAGAGGTATTTGATTGGATCCTGGACCAAGGCTACTATTCAGAGCGCGACACCAGTAATGTGGTCCGTCAGGTGTTGGAGGCTGTGGCCTATCTTCACTCCCTGCACATTGTCCACAGGAACCTCAAGGTACTTAGCCCTAGGCCCTTTGATGGTGAAGAGGAGGACTACAATACACTGTAAATGCCTGAATGTTGATCACCACTGCTTATTTTAAACGCCACTGGGTCTTTTAAAGTAATTTTTGACTTGTTTAATTGGGTTGAAGTATATATATATTTAGGCAAACATTTCTGAAAAGGCACATGTTATTATGCAAATGTTTTATGCAAATGTGGTTGATCAGATTGATCTTGCTTTGTTTGAACTAAAACAATTGGACTGTCATTTTTAGACACTTGTGTGACGCTAAAGTAAGAGTTTGACTGCTTCAATATTTACCAATGATGAAGTCTGTTCTAAGTCTGTGTAAGTTTTGAATGAGATTACTTTAGCAAAACTTTAGCAAACTTGGACTGTCGTCCTGTTCCTTTTCTCAGCTGGAGAACTTGGTATACTTTAACCGCCTGAAGCACTCCAAAATAGTGATCAGTGACTTCCACCTGGCAAAGCTGGAGACCGGGCTCATCAAAGACCCCTGTGGAACCCCAGAGTACCTTGGTAAGGACTGGGGAAGGAGTGGGGGAGGGATTAGTACCTGATTAAGGGGGAGTACAGACTGCCTGGGAGAGGGAGCACAACACAGGATGCTCACTTGGACTTGTGGGTATCTTCGAGAGTAGGTTTTGGGGAACAGTTTATGGGAGTGCAGGAAAGCATATGTGAGAAGAATCTTTAACTGTGTTTGTGTCCCTGCAGCACCAGAGGTGGTTGGGAGACAGAGATACGGCAGGCCAGTGGACTGCTGGGCCCTGGGTGTCATCATGTACATACTGTGAGTGGTTTGATTATCAGCATAGGGAGCCCATTATATACAGTTGAAGTCGGAAGTTTGCATACACTTAGGTTGGAGTCATTAAAACTAGTTTTTCAACCACTCCACAAATGTCTTGTTAACAAACTATAGTTTTGGTAGGTCGGTTAGGACATCTACTTTTTCCAACAATTGTTTACAGACAGATTATTTCACTGTATCACAATTCAAGTGGGTCAGACGTTTACATACACTAAGTTGACTGTGCCTTTAAACAGCTTGGAAAATTCCAGAAAATGATGTCATGGCTTTAGAAGCTTCTGATAGGCTAATTGACATAATTTGAGTCAATTGGAGGTGTACCTGTGGATGTATTTCAAGGCCTACCTTCAAACTCAGTGCCTATTTGCTTGACATCATGGGAAAATCTAAATAAATCAGCCAAGACCTCAGAAAAATAATTGTAGACCTCCACAAGTCTGGTTCATCCTTGGGAGCAATTTCCAAACGCCTGAAGGTACCACGTTCATCTGTACAAACAATAGTACGCGAGTATAAACACCATGGGACCACGCAGCCATCATACCGCTCAGGAAGGAGACGCGTTCTGTCTCCTAGAAATTAACGTACTTTGGTGCGAAAAGTGCAAATCAATCCCAGAACAACAGCAAAGGACCTTGTGAAGATGCTGGAGGAAACAGGTACAAAAGTATCTATATCCACAGTAAAACGAGTCCTATATCGACATAACTTGAAAGGCCACTCAGCAAGAAAGAAGCCACTGCTCCAAAACCACCATAAAAAAGCCAGACTACGGTTTGCAACTGCACATGGGGACAAAGATCGTACTTTTTGGAGAAATGTCCTCTGTTCTGATGAAACAAAAATATAACTGTTTGGCCATAATGACCATCGTTATGTTTGGAGGAAAAAGGGGGAATTGCAAGCCGAAGAACACCATCCCAACCGTGAAGCACGGGGGTGGCAGCATCATGCTGTGGGGGTGCTTTGCTGCAGGAGGGACTGGTGCACTTCACAAAATAGATGGCATCATGAGGAAGGAAAATAATGTGGATATATTGAAGCAACATCGCAAGACATCAGTGAGGAAGTTAAAGCTTGGTCGCAAATGGATCTTCCAAATGGACAATGACCCCAAGCATACTTCTAAAGTTGTGGCAAAATGGTTTAAGGACAACAAAGTCAAGGTATTGGAGTGGCCATTACAAAGCCCTGACCTCAATCCTGTAGAAAATGTGTGGGCAGAACTGAAAAAGCGTGTGCGAGCAAGGAGGCCTACAAACCTGACTCAGTTACACCAGCTCTGTCAGGAGGAATGGGCCAAAAGTCACCCAACTTATTGTGGGAAGCTTGTGGAATGCTACCCGAAACGTTTGACCCAAGTTAAACAATTTAAAGGCAATGCTACCAAATACTAATTGAGTGTATGTAAACCTCTGACCCACTGGGAATGTGATGAAAGAAATAAAAGCTGAAATAAATCATTTTCTCTACTATTATTCTGACATTTCACATTCTTAAAATAAAGTGGTGATCCTAACTGACCTAAGACAGGGACTTTTTACTAGGATTAAATGTCAGTAATTGTGAAAAACTGAGTTTAAATGTATTTGGCTAAGGTGTATGTAAACTTCCGACTTCAACTGTACTACTACAAGAGGGGTGGGTTGTGAGTCTGCTCAGAGGATGGGGGATTTGAAATTATACAGACGGGCAACAAGAATACTGACTGTACTTTACTGAAAGAGACCATCTTCACTCTACTCCACATGGTATGCTCAAAAGCAGTACGGGTATCTTATTTATAGGGTATTGCCTGCTGGAATACATCAAATCTTTACATCACATTTGTGCACATGACAATGCAAGCTGATAAAGAGCTCCTTTTGTCTTGTGGTCCTCAGGCTTTCAGGCAACCCTCCTTTCTATGAGGAAACTGATGATGATGACTATGAAAACCATGACAAGAACCTGTTCAGGAAGATCTTGGCAGGGGACTATGAGTTTGACTCTCCCTACTGGGACGACATCTCAGAGTCAGGTACTTTTAAGATGAAGTAGATACACAGTAGACTGTATAAACAACAGCTTACTGGGTAAACAGAAATTCAAAAGGGAGGATTTTATCTGTTCACTTTTCACGTTCAAAACCATATCCTGTTTGTTTTCTGATTCCATCAGGAGTATTAACTGCTGTTTGTTGAGATATTGCTTTTATTGTGTTGCAGCAAAAGGCCTGGTAGCCCGTTTGATGGAGGTAGACCAGGATCAGAGGCTGACTGCTCAGGAGGCCATCAACCATGAGTGGTATGGAAATACACATTAACACAGTAGCCTACTATAGGGATATACCACAAGGCCACAGTACTATGGAGATATACCAGATGACCACAGTGAAGTGAAAATAAACCAGATTAATCTAGATTATTGATGTGTAAGTATGATGTGTCCGTGTGTTCTTAAAAATAAATACATTAAAAAAGGTTGTTAGTGATGCTGTTTTATTAGTATTACTCACCCCCATCTACTGAGCTGTCACTTGTAAATGTCAAGAGAAGATTACAAAGCCCCATTATAGTGAAGTTCCCTTTTCCCCGTTTATCTCTTCAGGATTTCTGGAAATGCAGCCTCAAATAAGAATATTAAGGATAATGTCTGTGCACAGATAGAGAAGAACTTTGCCAAAGCTAAGTGGAAGGTAAGCCTCTATTTTTATCTGTTCCATTTCTTCATCACTGAAGGAGAGATTGGCGGAAACTATCACACATTTTTTATATACGTTTTATGGGCCTTGAGAATTTGAAATGGGATAAATTATTTGTAACAGTGCAAGTATAAGGCTTTAGAATTGGCTACATATTCTGTAAAAGTGTTAAAATATATAGTAACTAGGCGCCTTGGGTTGAGTGTGTTCTGCGACTGCCTCCCACAGAAAGCGGTGCGGGTCACTACCATCATGAAGCGACTGAGAGCTCCAGAGCAGAGTGCTGACTCGGGGGCAACCATCCCAGCAGTAGCAACCAGCCCTGCAGCAGGAGAACCAGCCCCAGCTCCAGCAGACCCCCAGGCTCCCAGTGACCCCTCAGCAGCCACCGCTGCTGCAGCCCCAGAGGGGGAGCCTGCTGCCGTCACAGATCCCCCTGCTGGCATGGAGGCCGTGACATGTGATGCCACTCCCCAGGCTGCAGCAGAGGTCACAGCTCTACCACCGCCCCCTGAGGAGGCCAGCCCAGTGGAGGCCCCAGTGGAAGCCCCGGCCCCGGAGGAGGTTGATCCGTTGTCACGGTGTAACGGAGAGGCCCCGACTCCCCTCCAACCAGCAGCTGAAGCTGGGGATGAGCAGGGTTAGCCACCTCCCTTCGTTGACCTCCTTCACTCCCAGCGATCGTCTTTCCTGCACACTGTACATTAGCTGCTAGCATGGTGACACTGACTTATCTCTCTCACTTGCAGTATGAGTAACATCTCACAGAGCCTTTGTGCTGTCTTTCCTGAGTGTTGAATTGATCTGGCGACATGTGTTCTGTATTTTTGAAACAGCCCTCTGGCCTTACAGGGGCTTTTTGTGTCTAATGCAGCCCAGCTTTTGCCATATTATGTTAGGTAATAAGGTAATGAACAGCTTGGCTTTGCTCTTGTAGTGTTGATTTTACATAATGATCTGTAGCATTCCCCCTTTACATCCCTCTCTACACATGGAAAATATCCTGTTTGATCTCTTTTTGAGGGGTGAACATTGCTCTCTTTCTTGTTTGTTGTATACACTCATCAGTAGTTTTGTCTGTGCTGCAGCAAGTATGCTTACTGGGGAATGCAGCAGGCCCAGTGTTAGTGAAAGGCAGCATCCACAACATGCTCCCTCCCTCGCCAGCTTTCTGCTTAGGAAAGCACCACATGGCTGTCAGTTTAAAGATTCTGTATATGGAGACCTTTTGTAGAAGTAGTCAAAACGGCATGCATTCTTAACTTTTTCTGTTAATTTCACATTTGTAAGCAGTTGGTGGAAAGAACGTGCTAATCCTGCTACTGGCCTTTAAACTGGAAACATTAAGGTCTTTCTGTTCATTAGGCTCCAAGTAGAGGGCACTGTTGATGCTCATGTTTTGTTCAAATGGACTACATCATTTCATAAATTCATATATTGTACAGGACCAGTCAAAAGTTAGGACACTGATTCATTCTAGGGATTTACTACATTGTAGAATAATAGTGAAGACATCAAAACTATGAAATAACACATATGGAATAATCTAGTAACCAAAAAAGTGTTAAACAAATCAAAATATATTTTATATTTTAGATTCTTCAAAGTAGCCACCCTTTGCCTTGATGACAGCTGTGCACACTCTTGGCATTCTCTCAACCAGCTTCACCTGCGGTCCAACTCATCCCAAACCATCTCAGTTGGGTTGAGGTCGGGTGATTGTGGAGGCCAGGTCATCTGATGCAGCACTCCATCACTCTCCTTCTTGGTCAAATAGCCCTTACACAGCCTGGAGGGGTGTTGGGTCATTGTCCTGTTGAAAAACAAATTATAGTCCCACTAAGCCCAAACCAGATGGGATGGCGTATCGCTGCAGAATGCTGTGGTAGACATGCTGGTTAAATGTGCCTTGAATTCTAAATAAATCACAGACAGTGTCACCAGCAAAGTACCCCGACACCATCACACCTCCTCCTCCATGCTTCATGGTGGGAGCCACACATTCGGAGATAATCTGTTCACCTACTGTGCATCTCACAAAAACACGGCGGTTGGAACCAGAAATCTCACATTTGGACTCATCAGACCAAAGGACAGATTTCCACCAGTCTAATGTCCATTGCTCTTGTTTCTTTGCCCAAGCTAGTCTCTTCTTATTATTTGTGTCCTTTAGTAGTGGTTTCTTTGCAGCAATTTGACCATGAAGGCCTGATTCACGCAGTCTCCTCTGAACAGTTGATGTTGAGATGGGTCTGTTCCTTGAACTTTGGCAGCAATTTCTGAGGCTGGTAACTCTAATGAACTTATCCTCTGCAGCAGAGGTAACTCTGGGTCTTCCTTTCCTATGGCGGTCCTCATGAGAGCCAGTTTCATCATAGCGTTTGATGGTTTTTGCGACTGCACTTGAAGAAACGTTCAAAGTTCTTGAAATTTTCCGATTGACTGACCTTCATGTCTTAAAATAATGATGGATTATTTGAGCTGTTCTTGCCGTAATACGGACTTGGTCTTTTACCAAATAGGGCTATCTTCTGTATACCATCCCTACCTTGTCACAACACAACTGATTGGCTCAAACGCATTAAGAAGGAAATAAATTCCACAAATTAACTTTGAACAAGGCACACCTGTTAATTGAAAAGCATTCCAGGTCACTACCTCATTAAGCTGGTTGAGAGAATGCCAAGAGTGTGCAAAGCTGTCATCAAGGCAAAGAGTGGCTACTTTGAAGAATCTCAAATATACAATATATTTTGATTTATTTAACACGTTTTTGGTTACTACATGATTCCATATGTGTTATTTCATAGTTTTGATGTCTTCACTATTATTCTACAATGTAGAAAATAGTAAAAATAAAGAAAAACCCTTGAATGAGTAGGTGTGTCCAAACTTTTGACTGGTACTGTACATCAAGTGCCACTACTGTAAATGTACATTATATTTAATGAGTTATGTGTTTGTTACACAGTAGTTTCTATGCAGCTATAATTAATTTTGTAGCTCATCTTTATGAATTTCACAACAGGCCTCAGTCATAACATATCTTCATCCATCCTATGTGATTAGATGAACTTTTTCTATTTCTATAAAATTAGTTTTTCATTCTGCTTCTGATTTAACACTTCATATTGCTTATTCATTCTTATGCATCCTAAAGTACATGGATCCGTTTGTAAATAAAAACAATTTAGCCTACAAGGAAAACCATTACATTATTTTCTCAGTGGTATTACATTAGATTGTGACTGTGTAAAAGCACCACTGTAAAAGCCCCCCCCCCCCCACTAGCTTTGTTTACAAGTTTTTGTTGATTAAAGGAAACAGAAGAATTAAGAGCAGTGTTAAAAACATCTTTAATATTTTTTACAAACGTATTTATTTATTTATCTATTTATTCATAAGTTTACTTATTCTCAAGATATTCATAACAATAATAAGAAACATAATAGTAGTCGGTTTATAGTCTTTGGTCCCCTTCAGTAGAGTCAATAATGAGGTACTGCAAGAGTTCTCTGTAATCACCATAAATTGAGCAATATTCAACTTGCTGCCGAAACTGTGATTCTTCTTTTGGTGTCCTCTGTAAAGTACATGTACGTACCTGTAAGTTAAAATCCTATAGTCTTTGACAACTGTCGATACCCTGTCCAGATGGTTAGTCAACTAACACATGGCCAGTGTCAAACAAGGCAGAGCCTAGATCATTTAGTCATGCTTCTGACCTGGGTCCCATCTTTCTGTACTGTATTTATAGTACCAGCCATCTGTGCAGAGGGTGGCTCCTTCCTTGACACAGCAAGACAGTGATTTATTTTTACTCTTTTTTACACTGTAGAACAATAGTGAAGACATCAAAACTATGAAATAACCATATGGAATCATGTAGTAAACAAAATAGGGTTAAACAAATCAAAATATGTTTTATATTTGAGAATCTTCAAAGAGCCACCCTTTGCCTTGATGACAGCTTTGCAAACTCTTGGCATTCTCTCAACCAGCTTCACCTGAAATGCTTTTCCAACACTGTTGAAGGAGTTCCCACATATAATGAGCACTTGTTGGCTGCTTTTCCTTCACTCTGCCGTCCGACTCATCCCAAACCATCTCAATTGGGTTGAAGTCGGCGGATTGTGGAGGCCAGGTCATCTGATGCAGCACTCCATCACTCTCCTTCTTGGTAAAATAGCCCTTACACAGCCTGGAGGTGTGTTGGGTCATTGTCCTATTGAAAAACAAATGATAGTCCCACTAAGCCCAAACCAGATGGGATGGCGTATCGCTGTAGAATGCTGTGATGGCCATGCTGGTTAAGTGTGCCTTGAATTCTAAATAAATCACAGACAGTGTCACCAGCAAAGCACCCCCACACCATCACACCTCCTCCTCCATGCTTTACGGTGGGAAATACACATGCGGAGATCATCCGTTCACCCACACCGCGTCTCACAAAGACATGGCGGTTGGAACCCAAAATCTCCAATTTGGATTCCAGACCAAAGGACACATTTCCACCGGTCTAATGTTCATTGCTCGTGTTTCTTGGCCCAAGCAGGTCTGTTCTTCTTATTAGTGTCCTTTAGTAGTGGTTCCTTTGTAGCAATTCGACCATGAAGGCCTGATTCACACAGTCCCCTCTGAACAGTTGATGTTGAGATGTATCTGTGACTGAACTCTGTGAAGCATTTATTTGGGCTGCAATTTCTGAGGCTGGTAACTCTAATGGGCTGCAGTAGAGGTAACTCTGGGTCTTCCATTCCTGTGGCGGTCTTCTTGAGAGCCAGTTTCATCATAGCGCTTGATGGTTTTTGTGACTGCACTTGAAGAAACTTTCAAAGTTCTTGAAATTGTCTTTAAGTAATGATTGAATGTCGTTTCTCTTTGCTTATTTGAGCTGTTCATCAATAATATGGACTTGGCTATCTTCTGTATACCACCCCTACCTTGTCACAACACAACTGATTGGCTCAAACGCATTAAGAAGAAAATAAATTCTACAAATTTACTTTTAAGAAGGCACACCTGTTAATTGAAATGCATTCAAGTTGACTACCTCATGAAGCTGGTTGAGAGAATGCCAAGCGTGTGCAAAGCTGTCATCAAGGCAAAGGGTGGCTATTTGAGGAATCTCAAATATAACATATATTTTGATTTGTTTAACACTTTTTTGGTTACTGCATGATTCCACGTGTTATTTCATAGTTTTGATGTCTTCATTATTATTCTACTAAATTGTAAAAAAAAATAAAGAAAAACCCTTGAATGAGTAGGTGTGTCCAAACTTTTGACCGGTACTGTATATACTGTGTATGTATATATAGTTGTGCATATTCAGTTACATTATTGAGATTTAGCATTACACAATGTCTTTATTTTGCCAAAACATTTTCATTTCCATGAAAAGCTTAACAGCAATATCTGAAAAGAGTTGTGTGAATATACCATCCTCTTACTTACGACTGCAAATAAATACTGTTACACAATCTAAAGCAATGCTTTGTTTCAGTGCCACTGTATTTACTATTCCATGTCTGTTAATTTCATGCACTTTCTGATGTACCTTTTTATTTCTCGATGTAATGGTCATCTGGACCAGTGGCTCTGTACTGTACTCCTTGACTGAGTTTATGACTTTGATGGTAATA